AGAGAGTGAGAAGTATATTTTCCATTAATTTTATGGATTTTATCCCAGACTGCTTTTGAGCTAGTGGAAGATGTTATGCTTGAAACATACTTCCTCCAAGAATCCCTTTGGCTTTGCCTTCTTATTCTTCTGGCATTCGCCTTCGCTTTTTGAAAAGCTATCAAATTTCTAGCAGTGGGGTATCTTCTGAAAATTCCCCATGCTTTCTTTTGTGCTTTAAATGCTACCTTGCAATTCTGATCCCACCATGGTTTCAAATGCTTTGGGTATCTAGTTGATGTCTTTCCCATTGTTTTTTCAGCTGCCTGAATAATACTGGAAGTGACAACTTCAACTGCATCATTGATATCAGCAGTATTGACCATTTCCTCAGTGATGTCAGCCAAAGAGGAAAATGCAGGCCAATCTGCCGTTTCCAGTTTCAAGCGTGGTGGACGGGCTGTTTCACAGCTTTCTCTGCCTTAATATTTTAAAAATATTGGGAAGTGGTCGCTAGACAGTGGATTAGATCCAACCAACCATGAAAATGCTGATAACAAATTCGGAGTTGCTAATGAAAGATCAATGGCAATGAATGTTCTCGATGGGGCATGGAAGTATGTCACTTCTCCAGTATTAAATAGATACAGTTGATGATTACCTATAAATCTCTCAATGGCTCTGCCTCGACGATTGATGTCAGGACTGCCCCACATAGGATTGTGGCCATTAAAATCACCAAGTAAAAGAAATGGTGTTGGCAGCTGTTCAACTAAGGCATCCAGTTCATTCTCATCGACTCTGATATCTGGTGGCAATTATATAGAACAAACTGTGACAGTTACGCCAATTGAAATTTTGACTGCCACCGCTTGCAGCTCTGTTGTTATTTGTATCGGCAAGGATGGAATGCGATTTGAAACCAGAATAGCCACACCGCCACTGGCACGGTTGTGGCTATCATCATCCTTGCGGTAGAGATTGAATCCTTTTAAAGTAATTCTTTCTCCAGGTTTCAGATGGGTTTCCTGGAGTGCCACGCAGAGAGATTAAGTAGATGATGTCAGGTGTTTAATGTCAGAGAAGTTGTTGCGGAAACCACGACAGTTCCATTGGATTATTTTATAATCCATTATGTGTTTGAGGTAGCATTCTTTGTGAAGATATCCCTCTTCAGTTTTACGGCTGATTTGCCTTTCGGAGGTGAAGTTGGGGGTGTCACCTCCTTATTAGTCTCCTCGTCAGAGAAGTCAGAGAACTCACTCATAGACTGAGCCTCTGATCTCTTAGATTTGGAGATCGCTGCTTTTAATTTTTGTTTGTTGAGTGGGTTCTTAGCAGCCTTCTTAGAACCCACGTTTCTAGTTATTACCCCTGTTTTAGGCAGGGGTGTTTTGGTCTTTTTGCTCTCCTTTTCTGCTGTTTGGTTAGATGGTAAAAGCAAACATTTTTGATGTCGAGTTAGAGATTCATTTGGTGAAACGGAAATGTCTGTCTGAACTCCACATGTCTTTGTGGATTTCAGAACAGCAGCAAATGTCTTCTGTTTCACTGGTGCATTTAAAGTTACCATGCGTCGTGCCTCTGGGTAAGGTATGTTATTCACCGTCTTTACCCGCTGAATCTCTTTCTCTTTTTGCCATGTGGGACATTTTCGGGAGTAGGCAGGATGGGCATCTTTGCAGTTGACGCAGCATGGAGTGGTTGTACACTCAGTACTCTGGTGGCCTTCAACTCCACATTGTGCACATAAACTTTTGCCTCGACATGATGTTTGGGAATGTCCAAATCGCTGGCATTTAAAGCAACGCAGCGGGTTTGGAATGTACGGACGAACCGGACAGCGCAGATATCCTGCAGTAACAAATGATGGTAATGTCGGCTTTCCGAAAGTAAGAATGAGATGTTTAGTTGGTATCAACTTGCCATCTCGACGAATGGAGATGCGTCGGACAGCAGTGACGCCTTGATCTGAAAGACCGATCTGAATATCTGATTCGTCTTCAGACATCAGATCGATCTCAGATATCACCCCACGTGATGAGTTTAGACTTCCGTGTGGGGTGACAGTGACTTCCATGTCTCCCAGTGTTTTTATTGCTAATAGATTTACTGTTTGTTGAGGTGAGGCTGTTTCTACTAGTAGGTCCCCTGACCTCAATTTTTGTATGTTTTTTAGATGCCCGATGGTTGATTCGAATAACTTTTGAATCAAAAAAGGAGAACACTTAGCGAGGGGTTTTTCTCCAGTTGCGTGCACTATTAAGTAAGCAGGTGGGCTGGAGGTCTTTTCTTTGGTCTTTGATATTGATGCTTCAGGATGTTTGGAATTTTTGGAATCCATAATTATAATTTAAATATTCAGCTCCCAGTGACCCCACCCACCATGGGGCCCAACAAGGGGATGCCGTCACATGGGAGACTCCCATAGACCGTCACACCAGGGTTTCCCAGGAGCTATACCCTCACAATGCAGTCAAGAAGAGCACATCTTGTCTGACGTGTCTGCCCGGTCTGCATCGATTGGTTGACTCCAGGCCGAGGTCAAGAATGACTCAACGACCAGCCGATTGACTCAAACGGAGCCTGATTTGAGCCTCCCGTTTATCCGAAGCAGGGGCCAAAGCAGTGTGTTGGGGACGTTATGTTGCCCCTCAACTACCAGGATCCCCCTTTCCGGCATACGGGACACCACGCACGGCAAACACGTGGGTGGGCGTTCAGATCCCAGGGATGGTAAAGAACTTACTAAACCATCTCTGGGAGGTCCCCTCACCACGGACAGGAACCCACATCGAGGGGCAATACCCTGTATAGCACTGATTATTGTGCCATTATTTTCTAGCATAGACAGAGAGTGAGAAGTATATTTTCCATTAATTTTATGGATTTTATCCCAGACTGCTTTTGAGCTAGTGGAAGATGTTATGCTAGAGACATAATTCCTCCAAGAATCCCTTTAGCTTTGCTTTCTAATTCTTCTGGCATTTGCCTTTGCTTTTTGAAAAGAAACCAAATTTTCAACAGTAAGGTATCTTCTAAAAATTCCCCATGCTTTCTTTTGTTTTTTAAATGCTGCCTCGCAATTCTGATCCCACCATGGTATCGGATGCTTTGGATATCTAATTAATGTTTTCCCCATTGTTTTTGTAGCTGCCTTATGATACTGGAAGTGACATCTTCAACTGCATCATTGATATCCGCAATATTCACCATATCCTCTGTGATGTTGGCCATAGAGCAAAAAACAGGCCAATTTGGCTGTTTCCAATTTCCAGTGTAATGGACGGGCTGTTTCACAGCTTTCTCTGCCTTGATATTTTAGAAATATTGGAAAGTGGTCGCTAGAGAGTGGATTAGATCCAACCTCCCATGAAAATGCTGAAAACAGGTTTGGACTTGCTAAAGAGAGATCAATGGCAGTAAATGTTCTTGTTGGGGCATCGAAGTATGTCACTTCTCCAGCATTAAATAAATATATTTGCTGATTGCCGATAAATCTCTCAATGGCTCTGCCTTGACAATTGATGTCGGGGCTGCCCCACATAGTATTGTGGCCATTGAAATCACCCAGTAAAAAGAATGGAGTTGGCAGCTGTTCAACTAATGCATTTAATTCATCCTCATTGGCTCTGACGTCTGGTGGCAAGTATATAGAACAAACTGTGACAGTTATGCCAATTGAAATTTTGACTGCCACAGCTTGCAAATCAGTGGTTATTTGTATCGGTAAGGATGGGATGTGGTTTGACACCAGAATAGCCACACCCCCACTGGCACGGTTGTGGCTATCTTCATCCTTGTGATAGAGATTGAATCCTTTCAAGAAAATTTTTTTCCAGGTTTTAGATGGGTTTCCTGGAGTGTACACAGAGAGATTGGGTAGATGATGTCAAGTGTTTAATGTCAGAGAAGTAAGATGCAATCTCTTTATCAGCACTTGTCACATCACTACTTTCTGCAAATGCTATGCCAATTACAGCGACTTTTGAATCAGCTGAACCAACCATTACTAGCTTTAAACTCATCATCTTATATTCCTGACATAGAAATCCTCTTGAAAGGTCTCACAAAGAACCAAAAAGAATACTTTAGGTAAATGGCGACTTTTAAAATAAGGAAATCGAATGAAACAAAAAAGTTATACCACTTTCAAGAAAAGCTGAAAAAAACCATGGGTTGGATAAAACACAACAACATCACTTTAGCCAGGGCAGACAAGGATAAGTTATTGGTACTGATGAAACGTGATACGTATGAGAAAAACTTAAAGGATTATATTGACATGACCTGATGTACAGAAGTACAGGAGATCTATATCGATAAATTACATTCAAGGGTCAAAAAGTTTTGCGAAAACAAAGCTAGCCAAGAGAATCAATATGAGAAACATAGTTATGGATGCACCGGAAATACCACGATTATTCGCTTTCGCAAAAACACACAAAAAGCACAACAACTCAGACCAGTGGTAGACAAGTCTAAGGCCCCCACTCGTATTTTAAAATCTATCACACACAAATTACTCATCCTGCATCTGGAAGAGTACCAATTCAATACATCCAATCCAGCAGAAGTTGTAAAACAATTGAAGAAGATGACACAGCCAGCTTATGCCACAGTTTTGGACTTCCGTTCGTTATTTCCTTCGATAGAACTACCACCGTGTTTTTGTGAGCTCAAAAACTATCTGTTTTCGACAGTTGAGAACACCACAATGCACCAACAGATTCTTGAGCTAGTATATTTGGTATGCTATACCTCTCTTTTCCAATTTAATGGGAAAACGTACTTGCAAGGGAAAGGAGTCCCGATGGGTAGCCTGGTATCGGGTGATTTGTGCGAAATGGTAATCAGAAGATTGGAAAACAATGTCCTATCACGTTTTTTGCACAATATCTTATTATATAAACGATATATTCACGACATCGTTATATTTTGGACGGTGGAACCAGACATAAAACTCTTCCTAGAAGACATGAATAACAATCCATATGGGCTATCATTAGAAGTAGAACAGCATGACTCTTCGAGGGTGCATTTCTTGGACATTGATATCAACTTCAAGGGGAGCTAACATACTTACATCTGTATACCGAAAACCTAGCATCTTCCCAACATATATTCCAAAAAGTTCGTGCAACCCTATCTCATACAAAATTGTCACTTTCAGAGCATTAGTGAGAAGAGCACATACGCACTCCACGACGCAACAAGCTCTAAAAACGGAACTCCAACATATAGGGGATATTGCTGTAGCTCATGGATACTACAACACTCTAGTCAAAAATTTATCTAAAAGGTATGACATTTCCCAAAAAGCCATTGATCAGGCAGGGCCACCATTGAATATACCTGATCAAGAAAAAGAGAGGATACCTATAACATATAATCCGATACTGAAATCAGTCTACAACATGATAGCCAAAAGAAGAGACATGAATATAGCATACAGAAGATGTCAAACGGTCTACATAATACAAACTAATGGCAAAGACCGGCCTAACCCTGAAAGACTCCCAGGAGTATACGCAGTACCGCTAGAAGACAAAAGATATGATAGACAACTGACATATATTGGTTCCACAAAGCGTTCGTTAAAAGTGAGGTTAAAAGAACATGAGTCAGATATACAGCAAGGTAGATACACAACATCCCTGGCAACATACACTTCAGAACAGGAAATAATAGCAGACCTGCGTGCGGCAAAAATTATTAAAACCAACTCCAACCCTCAACAACTAAAATGGCTAGAGGCCATGGAGATATTTAAGGTGGGAAGAAACAACACATGTATTAATTATAAAGAGGAAATGGCCTTATCAATAGCATGGAAGATTTTGCTGAATAACAGCGTTTAAAGAGATGAGTATGAAGCATGCGCAATACAACTTCGGAACGATTTCAAATGATAGAATTCGGAAGAAACTCATATCGAATGTTTATTTGAATATTAAAAGCCCATTCATTATAGCATGAAGAAGAGCCCAGGAGGGGCGACGAAAACGTTTGCAATTCTAAAAATAGAAGCACTCCGGTTAAAGGTTTGAAGAGTTTTTTATTTTATTTTATTTAAACACCGGTGTGTAGAGAGATTGTAGTCAAAGAAGTTGTTGCGGAAACCACGACAGTTCCATTGGATTATTTTGTAATCCATTATGTGTTTGAGGCAGCATTTTTAGCAACGATATCCCTCTTTAATTTCACAGGGGGTTTTTCTTTTGGAGGTGACATTGATTTTGTCACCTGCATATTAGTCTCTTCATCCGAGATATCAGAAAACTCACTCATAGAGTGAGCTTCTGATTTTTTACATTTAGAGAGAGCTGCTTTCACTATCTGTTTGTTTAGCAGGTTCTTGTTTAAACAAACAAGAACCTGCTAAACAAACCCAAGTTTTAGAACCCAAGTTTCTCGTTATTACCCCTGTTTTAGGTAGGAATGTTTTTGCTTTTGTACTCACCTTTGCTGGTGTTTCTTGTGATGGGAGTATTAAACGTTTCGCATGGCTAGTAAGAGATTCCTTTGAGGAAACAAAAATATCTGTTTGAAATCCATTGTCTTTGTAGACTTCAAAGCAGCTGCATAAGTCTTCTGTTTTAAAGTAGCACTTGGGTTGACCATGCATCTAGCCTCTGCATAGGATAGATTGTTTATAGTTTTCACCCGCTGAATCTCTTTCCCTCTCTGCCATGCAGAGCATTTCCGAGAGTAGGCAGGATGGTCATCGTTGCAGTTTACACAGCCTCGAGTACTGGTGCACTCAGTACTATGGTGGCCTTCAATTCCACACTGTGCACATAAGCTTTTACCTCAGCAGGATGTTTGAGTGTCCAAACCGTTGGCATTTAAAGAAACGCAGCAAGTTTGGAATATATGGGCAAACTGAACAGCGCAAATATCCTGCTGTAACAAAAGATGCCAATGACAGTTTTACAAAGGTGAGGATAAGGTGTTTAGTTGGTATCAACTTGCCATCTTGACAAATTGAAGTTCGTCGAACAGCAGTGACACCTTGGTCTGAAAGGCCGATCTGAATATCTGATTCATCCTCAGACATGAGATCAATTTCAGATATCACACCATGTGATGAGTTCAAACTTCTGTGTGGTGTGATGGTGACTTGTATGTCTCCTAGAGACTTCGTTTTCAGAAGCTTTTCAGACTGTTGAGAAAAGGCTGCTTCTACGAGCAGATCTCCTTACCTCAACTTTTGGATTCTTTTAAGATGCCCAATGGTCGATTCAAAAAGTTTCTGAATCAAAAAGGGGGAACATTTAGAAAGAGGCGTTTCTCCTGTAGCATGGACAATGAGATAAGATGGTTAATTGAAGGAATTAACCTCCTTTGGCGGCAATGCATTAGTGCATGTTTTTTTTTATTTTAATAAATCCATATTTAGAAATCACTATTCAGCTCCTAGTCACCCCACCAACCATGGGGCCCAACAAGGGGATGCCGTCACATGTAGTACTTCCATAGACCATCACACCAGGGTTTCGCAGAAGCTATACCCTCACAATGCAGTCAAAAATAGCACATCTAGACTGACGTGTCCGCCTGGTCTGCAACGATCAGTTGACTCCAGGCCGAGGTCAAGAATGACTCAACGACCAGCCGATTGACTCGAATGAAGCCTGATTTGAGCCTCCCGTTTATCCGAAGCAGGGGCCAAAGCAGTGTGTTGGAGACGTTATGTTGCCCCTCAACTACCAAAATCCCCCTTTCCGGCATACGGAATACCACGCACGGCAAACACGAAACTGGGCGTTCAGATCCCAGGGATGGTAAAGAGAAGTTACTAAACAATCTCTGAAAGGTCCCCTCACCACGAACAGGAACCCACATCAAGAGGTTACACAGCATGAACTACTGGAGCACTCAGTACTCTGGTGGCCTTCAATTCCACACTGTGCACATAAGCTTTTACCTCAGCAGGATGTTTGTGAATGTCCAAACCGCTGGCATTTAAAACAGTTAGTTAGTTAGTTAGTTGGTTAAGGTTTTTTTGCGCAAGGGCCCTTTAGGCCATGCTGCGCCATGACAAAAGGTAAAATATAACAAAACTAAATATATATAACACAAAATGTAAATATGACACAAAAACGTAAATAGAAACAAACAAACAAAACAACAAAATAGATATAAGCATATAATAAATAAATAAATAAATATATAANAGATCAATGGCAGTGAACGTTCTTGATGGAGCATGGAAGTATGTCACTTCTCCTGTATTAAATAAATACAGTTGTTGATTGCCAATGAATCTTTCAATGGTCCTGCCTCGACGGTTAATGTTGGGACTGCCCCACATTGGATTGTGACCATTGAAATCACCGAGTAAAAGGAAAGGAGTTGGCAGCTGTTCAACTAGTGTATCCAATTCATCCTCATTGACTTTGACATCTGGTGGCAAGTATATAGAACAGACTGTGACAGTTACGCCAATTGAAATTTTGACTGCCACCGCTTGCAGCTCTGTTGTTATTTGTATCGGCAAGGATGGAATGCACTTTGAAACCTGTATAGCCACATCTCCACTGGCACGGTTGTGGCTATCTTTATCCTTGCGGTAGAGATTGAATCCTTTTAAAGTAATTCTTTCTCCAGGTTTCAGATGGGTTTCCTGGAGTGCCACGCAGAGAGATGAGGTAGATGATGTCAAGTGTTTAATGTCAGAGAAGTTGTTGCGGAAACCACGACAGTTCCATTGGATTATTTTATAACCCATTATGTGTTTGAGGCAGCATTCTTTGTGAAGGTATCCCTCTTCAGTTTTACGGCTGATTTGCCTTTCGGAGGTGAAGTTGGTGGTGTCACCTCCTTATTAGTCTCCTCCTCAGAAAAGTCAGAGAACTCACTCATAGACTGAGCCTCTGATCTCTTAGATTTGGAGATGGCTGCTTTTAATTTTTGTTTATTGAGCGGGTTCTTAGCAGCCTTCTTCGAACCCACGTTTCTAGTTATTACCCCTGTTTTAGGTAGGGGTGTTTTGGTCTTCTTGCTCTCCTTTTCTGCAGTTTGGGTAGTTGGTATAAGCAAACATTTTTCGTGGCGAGTTAAAGATTCATTTGGTGAAACAGAAATGTCTGTCTGAACTCCACATGTCTTTGTGGATTTCAGAGCAGCAGCAAATGTCTTCTGTTTCACTGGTGCATTTGAAGTGACCATGCGTCGTGCATCTGGGTAAGGTATATTATTCACCGTCTTTACCCGCTGAATCTCTTTCTCTTTTTGCCACGTGGGACATTTCCGAGAGTAGGCAGGATGGGCCTCTTTGCAGTTTACACAGCATGGGGTACTTTTACATTCAGTACTCTCGTGATCTTCATTTCCACACTGTGCGCATGCTTTTTTTCCTCTACATGATGTCTGTGAGTGTCCAAACCGCTGACATCTAAAGCAACGCAGCGGGTTTGGAATGTATGGGCGTAGTGGGCAACGGAGATATCCTGCCGTAACAGAAGATGGCAAGGTTGGTTTGTTAAATGTCAATATAAGGTGTTTTGTTGGTATCAACTTGCCATCTCGACGAATGGAAATGCGTCGGACTGCAGTGACACCTTGGTCTGACAAACCAATTTGGATATCTGATTCGTCTTCTGACATCAGATCTATTTCGGATATCACCCCACGTGATGAGTTTAGACTTCCATGTGGGGTTACAGTAACTTCCATGTCTCCCATTGTCTTTGTTGCCAATAGTTTTACTGATTGTTGAGGTGAGGCTGTTTCTATCAGCAGGTCCCCTGACCTCAATTTCTGGATCTTCTTCAAGTGTCCAACAGTTGATTCAAATAATTTTTGAATGAGAAATGGAGAGCATTTCGAAAGAGGTTTTTCTCCAGTAGCATGTACTATCAAGTAGGATGACTGACTGGATGTCTTTTCATTTGTCGTTGCTGGTGTATTTGGAACGTATGGGCAAACTGGGCAACAGAGATATCCTGCCGTAACAGAAGATAGCAATGTCGGCTTTCTAAAAGTGAGAATAAGGTGTTTAGTTGGTATCAACTTGCCATCTCGACAACTCGAAATTCATTGAACAGCAGTGACACCGTGATCTGAAAGACCGACCTGAATATCTGATTCTTCCACAGACATCAGATCGATTGCAGATATCACACCACATGAGGAATTCAAACTTGTGTATGGTGTGATGGTGACTTGTATGTCTCCTAGAGACTTCGTTTTTAAAAGCTTTCCAGACTGTTGAGGGGAGGCTGCTTCTACGAGCAGATCTCCTTACCTCAACTTTTGAATTCTTTTAAGATGCCCAATGGTCGATTCAAAAAGTTTCTGAATCAGAAAAAAAGAACGTTTAGACAGAGGTGTTTCTCCCATAGCATGAACGATGAGGTAATATGGTTGGTTGGAAAAACTGACCTCCTTTGATGGCAATGCATTGGTATGTATTTGTTTTTGCTTTGATGAATCCGTATTTAAAAATAACTATTCAGCTCCTAGTAACCCCACCCACCATGGGGCCCAACAAGGGGATGCCGTCACATTGGAGACTCCCATAGACCGTCACACCAGGGTTTCCCAGGAGCTATACCCTCACAATGCAGTCAAGAAGAGCACATCTTGTCTGACATGTCCACCCAATCTGCATTGATAGGTTGACTCCAAGCCAAAATCAAGAATGAATCAACAACCAGCCGATTGACTCGAACAGAGCCTGATTTGAACCTCTTGTTTATCCGAAGCAGAGACCACAGCAGTGTATTGGGGACATTATGTTGCCCCTCAACTACCAGGATCCCCCTTTCCAGCGTATGGGATACCATGCATGGCAAACACATGGGTGGGCATTCAGATCCCAGGGATAGTAAAGAAGTATTACTAAACCATCTCTGGGAGGTCCCCTCACCACGGACAGGAACCCACATAGAGGGGCTCACAATGAACTAAATTGACTCAAAGCATGTAGGTGTTTTCGACAAATCTGTGAACTATAAGTGACTAATCTACCTTATGTGTAGTGAAAATTTTTCCTCATCAAAAGAAGACATCAACTCACTTCAAAAACTGACAGAAGGAAATATTTCCTCTCCTGTAATGCCGCCATCCATTCTTGGAAACATTTTTTGAATACCTATTTCAAGACCAAACTGTATCCTAAATTTTACAACCTATTTCAGTATAAACTTCGACTTCGCTAATTAATTTCTGTACACAAAATTTGTGTGTTTGTCAACCTACCATGGTATGAGTATATTCTGTTAAAGCGGCCAACATCAATCCGCAGCTGTATATAATTTGTATCATAATTATTGTCGGGTTTCAACTTGTAATTCATTTTATTTATCATTTCTTTTGTAATTTCTTATTTAAGTAAACGCGACGTGGATGCTATGGTGCCCCATGCCTTCCTTTCTAACTTTCCTATCTATCTTTCATTTCACACTTCACCTCACATGCTATCTCTTCTTTCCGTTTCTAAAAGGGCTAACTCCGTAATAAAAATAAACAGCCCTCTAACCCTTTATAGCAACCTTATAGCAACTTCTCCTGAGGAGTCATCTCTCGATACTAGGCATGTGGTTCACCCCTGTACACCATTTTCATTAATTAATTAATTAATTAGAATAATCAGAGTTCATTTGTCATCTCGTTACCTCTTATTTTCATACGTTCAGTGTTATGGCAGCAAACAAAATAGTACAATTTTTTACTAAACTAATTTCTTTATCGAATACAAAAAATCATCGAAAAGATTAATATTATCATCACATTCATTTCTGACTTTAAAACAATTAAAACAATCATTTTTGCATTAGAAATTTAAAATTCCGATTAAAATAAAAAATTTCTTAATTAATTAATGATAGTTCTGTTTTCACAACATTCGCTCATTTATCTTTGCAGAATGGATAATTTCAAAGAATTGAAGAAGTGGAACAAGTCAGGCCATGCCAAGCACAATGCTAATCTTCGCCTCATGTAATACGGGAGCTTCCGAAAGCTGTGGTGGAGAAATTGCATACACCCAACATCAAACAAGTGGTCGTCATAACTTCGAACGACAGCGCCTCATCTGTTATCCATTATCTGGAGCAGCGATACCCTGAAGTTCCGGAATGGACGATAAAGACTTGACAGAAATGAATCTGAAATAATCGTGGCAGAATCCGTCGAGCGTAAAAAGCCTCGATGATAAAAATTGTTTTTCTACTGAAAAAAATAACCTGTTTTCTGACGAAGCCTTCTTACACTAATTTCAACTTTCCAGAAAATGTGACACAGCAACCCGAAAGTGATCTTTTACAAAAATATAACACTTTTACTCAAAATTGACCTTTTGCCCGGCTACGACTTAATCAACTGGACTTCACTTTCCATCCCAATTTTCGAACCGATACTTCGACACCATTCGAGTTTCGCTCTTTCACTTCGGATAAAATGCATAGAACAAAAACAGTATCGTCTACCGTGACAAAGTGACAACGAAATATTAAGCAGTATTCTCCTGTTTAATTGAAGACTGTGTCTAAACGACCATAACTGGTCAAGGCAACTTGTAATAGGCATATACAGACTGTCTTTCAATCAATGTTCTACTAGTAACAAATTGAGCTACAAAATAACAAATATCGGTCACTAAAATGCACTGAACATTTCCATGTTGAACTTTATCATTGCAGTTGACATATGTCCAAAGCATAATTATAATTGGTTGGTTGGTTAGTTAATTAGTTTTTATTCGCACAAGAGCCATGCAGCCTATACTGGGCCATGGAAACATAATACAATTTGTAATATAAAATAAATATAAATATACATATAAATAAAACATAACAGTTTAACCTTTAAATGTTAATGGTAATATAAATATAAAATCTAAAATATAATAAATAAATGAGTAAAACTATAAATAAAACACAACAAAAAATATATACAATAATTTATATACTCAACACAAAGTAAATAAAACTGTACAATAAATTAATTATCAAATTTCTCTATACGTATTAACGACTTTCAAATAGTCCACTATATTGTTCAGATTTGGCCTCTGGCCCAAAATCTCTCTCAAGCTTGCATTTCCAAAATGCTGTCTATGATTCTGGTCAAAAGCAATGAAGTTGCAAAGTATGTGTTTAGCACTTACAGTACAGTTGCAGTACTGAAATACTAATGCCTCATCTCCCTTCAAAATGTATTAATGAGTCAGTCGAGTGTGTACAATTCTCAAATGAGTAAGGACAACCACAGATCTCCTATCATACTGTGCCTATTCTGTGTCCAATTTTCTATTGAAGGTTTGATCTCATATAGTTTATTGTAGTTTTGTGCATTCCACGTAATTTGCCATCTCTCTGCTAGTCGTCTTTTAACGACAAGCTTCAAATCACCTCCTTCAATAAGCATTGCATGCTGTGAAGCACAAGCTGCCTTTGCAGTTGTGTCAGCTTCTTCACTTCCTCTTATACCCACGTGGCCTGGGACCCAACAAAACTTTCTCATAGTGAGATAACAATTTAGTTTCCGAATTTTAATCACTATGACGTGAGAACTACGTTCATATGAGATCAAAGCCTGTAGTGCTAACTGTACTAACTGAATCGGTGTAAATTATGCAGTAACGATGACTTTTCCTATTTATGTATTTTAAAGCTAAATAAAAAGCCTGCAACTCCGCAAAAAAAATGGAAGAATTCGGTGCTATTTGTTCTGCCACAATTTCATTTTGGCAAACAAAGGCTAAGCCAACATTATATAGCTATTAACAGCTATCAAAATTAGATCCATCAGTGTATATTGGAATTAGATCCCTGTCACAATGTTAAATTTCTGCAAACTGCTGTCTATAAACATAATCTGGCATGGTTTCTTTGGGAAACTGCTTTCATCTTAAATCAACATCTATCGTTGGGGTTGACCAATGTGGAATACTATTAACCTCAACAAGTTATATGTTGCTTGTGTTAAGGTCAATCGTGCTGCTTATATTCTCCATTCTTATGTCGAATGTAGGGACACTACTTGTCCGAGCAGCAAATTATCTTTTCAGCTGAGTATCTAAATGATCAGCTGAAAAAAGTTTTTTCTGAGATGTTTGTTTAATGTAATAAAAAAAGACAACTGTTTTCTCCTGAGAGATAGTGAGGGCTTATAAGCATTCACATACAAACTTTGGACAGGAGAAGTTCGAAATGCACCAGTACACAAACACAGAGCTTGATGATGGATTGGATCCAGCATCCGAAGAGTAGATTCTCGCGCAGAGCCATACACAAAGAATCCATAATCCAGCTTTGAGCGAATGAGGGCCCTATAAATCCTGAGCATATAACATTTGTCTGCTCCCCAGGATGAGCAGCACAGTATCTTTAGAAGGTTAAAAGATTTTAAACATGTACTCTTGAAGTTGTGCAAATGTTGTAAAAAAAGTCAGTTTTTGGTCAAATATAAGATCTAGAAACTTAGCCTCATTGACCATTGGGATTTTCATCCCATTTAAATAAATTTCATAATCCAAGTGCAAACCACGCCTTCGGCAAAAGTGGATGCACGAAATCTTCTCTGTGTTAAAAGTAAAGCCATTGGTCTTGGACCTATTGTCTATGCGATTTAAGAAGGTTTGCAGTTGTGTCTTGATATAACTGATGTTTGACTGGCAGGAGATCTGAAAGTCATCCACATACAAAGAGTGTTTCACACTGGGCGGAAGGCAGTTAGCTATGCTATTAATTTTAATTAGAAACAGAGTCACACTCAAAATACATCCTTGAGGAACACCTTCTTCTTGGACGAAAAACCTAGATAGTGTGTTGCCCATCCTAACTTGGAATCTTCGATTCTGCAGAAAGTTTTTTATAAAAACTGGCAAATTACCCCGCAATCCTAATTCATGTATATCACGAAGTATTCCGTAATGCCAGCAGCGATCGTAGGCTTTTTCTATATCAAAGAAAACAGACACTAAGTGCTGTCGTCTAACAAACACTTCGCGTATAGATGTTTCAAGTTTTACTAAATTGTCCGTGGTACTTCTGTTCCTACGAAATCCACTCTGGTGTGGTGAAAAATAGTTCTTTTCCTCTAGGCTGGAACATCAGTCGTCTGTTTACCATCCTCTCAAAGAGTTTACACAAGCAACTTGTCAGAGAGATTGGTCTATACACATGAAATTAAAGCCTGAAGGGAACTAACTGAGTCAGTGTAAATAACGCAACAACGATGACCTTTTCTGATTACATACTTTAAAGCTAGATAGATAGCGTGCAGCTCTGCAGTAAAGATAGATGAATTCAATTCAATTTGTTCTGCCAAGATTTCATCCTGGCAAACTAAGGCTGAGCCAACATATTCATCCGATTTAGAACCGTCTGTATAAATAGGAATTAAATTCTTGTCTTGGTGTTGAATTTCTGCAAAGTGCTGTATGTAGATATAGTCTGGAGTGGATTCCTTAGGAAACTGCTTTAAGCTAAAGTCAACATTTATCTCAGGGGTTGACCAAGGTTGAATACTATTAACTTCAACCTGTGAAATGTTGCTTGTNTCTCAGCTGCCTGAATAATACACAAAGTGACAACTTCAACTGCATCATTGACCATTTCCTCAGTGATGTTAGCCAAAGAGGAAAATGCACGCCAATCTGCCGTTTCCAGTTTCCAGCGTGGTAGACAGGCTGTTTCACAGCTTTCTCTGCCTCGGTATTTTAGAAATATTGGGAAGTGGTCACTAGAGAGTGGATTAGATCCAACCTCCCATGTAAATGCTGAAAACAGATTCGGAGTTGCTAATGATAGATCAATGGCAGTGAACGTTCTTGATGGGGCATGGAAGTATGTCACTTCTCCAGTATTAAATAGATACAGTTGATGATTACCTATAAATCTCTAAATGGCTCTGCCTCGACAGTTGATGTCAGGACTGCCCCACATAGGATTGTGACCATTAAAATCACCAAGTAAAAGGAATGGTGTTGGCAGCTGTTCAACTAATGCATCCAATTCATCCTCATTGACTCTGACATCTGGTGGCAAGTATATAGAACAAACTGTGACAGTTACGCCAATTGAAATTTTGACTGCCACAGCTTGCAGCTCTGTTGTTATTTGTACCGGTAAGGATGGAATGCGATTTGAAACCACAATAGCCACACCGCCACTGGCACAGTTAGGGCTATCATCATCCTTGAGGTAGAGATTGAATCCTTTTAAAGTAATTCTTTCTCCAGGTTTCAGATGGGTTTCCTGGAGTACCACACAGAGAGATGAGGTAGATGATGTCAAGTGTTTAATGTCAGAGAAATTGTTGCAAAAACCACGACAGTTCCATTGGATTATTTTATAATCTATTATGTGTTTGAGGCAGCATTCTTTGTGAAGGTATCCCTCTTTAGTTTTACGGCTGATTTGCCTTTTGGAGGTGAAGTTGGTGGTGTCACCTCCTTATTAGTCTCCTCGTCAGAGAACTTACTCATAGACTGAGCCTCTGATCTCTTAGATTTGGAGATGGCTGCTTTTAATTTTTGTTTGTTGAGCGGGTTCTTAGCAGCCTTCTTAGAACCCACGTTTCTAGTTATTACCCCTGTTTTAGGTAGGGCTGTTTTGCTCTTCTTGCTCTCCTTTTCTGCTGTTTGGGTAGATGGTATAAGCAAACATTTTTCATGGCGAGTTAGAGATTCATTTGGTGAAATAGAAATGTCTGTCTGAACTCCACATGTCTTTGTGGATTTCAGAACAGCAGCAAATGTCTTCTGTTTCACTTGTGCATTTAAAGTGACCATGCGTCGTGCCTCTGGGTAAGGTATATTATTCACCGTCTTTACCCGCTGAATCTCTTTTTCTGTTTGCCACGTGGGACATTTTCAGGAGTAGGCAGGATGGACCTCTTTGCAGTTGACACAGCATGGAGTGGTTGTACACTCAGTACCCTGGTGGCCTTCAACTCCACACTGTGCACATAAACTTTTGCCTCGACATGTTTAGGAATGTCCAAATCACTGGCATTTAAAGCAACGCAACGGATTTGGAATGTAAAAAAGAACCAGACAGCGCAGATATCCTGCAGTAACAAATGATGGTAATGTTGGCTTTCCGAAAGTAAGAATGAGATGTTTAGTTGGTATCAACTTGCCATCTCGACAAATGGAGATGTGTCAGACAGCAATGACTCCTTGATCTGAAAGACTGATCTGTATATCTGATTCATCTTCAGACATCAGATCAATCTCGGATATCACCCCACGTGATGAGTTTAGACTTCCGTGTGGGGTGACAGTGACTTCCATGTCTCCAAGTGTTTTTGTTGCCAATAGATTTACTGTTTGTTGAGGTGAGGCTGTTTCTACCAGCAGGTCCCCTGACCTCAATTTTTGTATCTTTTTCAAGTGCCCAATGGTTGATTCAAATATTTTTTGAATAAGAAATGGAGAGCATTTTGACATCAGTCGCATGAACTATCAAGTAGGTTGCAGTGATGGAAATGTTGGTTGTTACTGGAGGTAACTTATCCCTGTTTAGTTTTAAATTTTTGGAATCCATATTAGACAAAACAATTCAGCTCCTAGTGACCCCACCCACCATGGGGCTCAACAAGGGGATGCCGTCACATGGGAGACTCCCATAGACCGTCACACAAGGGTTTCCCAGGAGCTATACCCTCACAATGCAGTCAAGAAGAGCACATCTTGTCTGACGTGTCTGCCCGGTCTGCATTGATCGGTTGACTCCAAGCCGAGGTCAAGAATGACTCAGCGACCAGCCGATTGGCTCAAATGGAATCTGATTTGAGCCTCCCGTTTATCCGAAGCAGGGGCCAAAGCAGTGTGTTGGGAACAGTATGTTGCCCCTCAACTACCAGGATCCCCCTTTCTGGCATACGAGATACCACGCACGGCAAACACGTGGGTGGGCGTTCAGATCCCAGGGATAATAAAGAAGAGTTACTAAACCAACTCTGGTGTGGTGAGGGGACCTCCCAGAGTGGGAGGTCCCCTCACCACGGACAGGAACCCACATCGAGGGGGGATGCATTAAGAAATCTCATGCAAAATATGTAATTCAGAAGCATACTTTCCCAATTCACGACAGTATTTTTGAAAGATTATGGAGAAATTTTCCAACAACGGCACAAAATGAGCTAAGATATGATTTTTTGCACGAATACGGCAACATAGCACTAGTTCCTCGTCCAACATACCAAAAATCTTGTATTTCTCATAAAGTAGAAGAAATCATGTACGAAGATTACGTGGGAAATGGATTTTCAAAGCCATGGATGACTTCTCTTTATGCTCCCGATTGTGATGACTTATTGAAGAAAACAATCGAAAAAATATGGCGTGAAATTCTTCGTAGATGTCGACTTTTAGATGCAGGTAGGACTGGTCATATTTCTGCAAATTGTCTCAAAGAAGTTTTAGGTCAGTGTGGCATACCTGTTAATAATAAAAGTATGGCAGGCATTCTTGAAATTAAATATGGATTTACAAGACAAAACATAACAAATTACTGGAATTTTCTAAGAAAATGCGTTAGTTCTTTTCAAGATGAAGATTACGATACGAAACTTGAAACAGGTGACATATTTGATAATAAAGGACGTTTTGCACCTTATAAGATACTTCTTGCAATAAGAGGACAGGTATTGCATTATTGGAGATGACTTAGAGAAAGATCCCGATGGCACAGGTTTTATTGATGGCTGCGATTTTCGAAAAATCCTCCACGATTATAGTATTTATTTCAGCGATGAAGAATTTTTTAAAATTCTAAGATATTTTGATCCACATTCAACAGGAAAAGTGCCCTATAGCAGCTTTCTGCAAACATATGCCAATCCCATTCTTTATTAAAAATTAACCTAGGAATCTACAAATTTTGCATTGTAAATTTATTATTATAAACTCTTTCGTGGAAAAATTAATTTAAATTTTAAATTAGAAACATAAATTTTGTATAATTTAAGAACTAGTTTTTCTAAATAAATCGATATTTTCAAAATTATTATTGTTGTAATGTAATTTACTTTTATCCACTACTTTAGGCAAGATAAAGATTTTAGAAAATTAGTGTTTTTTTCTTAAAATTTATAAAATGACAAAAAAAGAAACTTCCATTATTTAATTATAGGTATCCTTTGATTAACATGGTTAATTAACCAAGGATTTCTCCCACACCTGGTCATATAAAATCAAGCCAGGATACGCCACAGTATGGGATTTTAGATCATTATACCCCTCGATAAAAATACAACCTTGTTTTTGTGCACTGAGAGATTTCCTCATAGAAAAAGTAAATGATACTAACCTGCACCAAGACATACTGGAATTGGCCCATTTAGCCTGCTACAGTTCGGTAATCCAGTTCAAAGGAAAAACACATGCACAGGAGAGAGGAGTGCCCATGGGAAGTCCATTATTTGAGGACTTGTGCGAAATGGTAATAAGGGCATTAGAAACCAAAACCCTACCACCCTTTCTCTCAAACATAATCATGTATGGTAGGTATATAGATGACATTATAATTCTCTGGAAAACACCACTGGACTTAAGACAATTTAAGACAGCCATGAACAACAACCCTTATGGCCTTTATTTGGAATTGGAGCAGCATAGTGAAGAAAAAATCCACTACTTAGATATAGAAATTGAAATTAAAGAGAGAACAATACAAACAAAAGTTTATAGAAAACCCACAACTATACCATCATACATACCCATCAATTCCTGTAACCCGTACTCTTACAAAGTAGCAGCATTCAGGAGTTTGATAGAAAGGGCCTATTCTCACTCTTCCACAACCTACGCTCTACAACAAGAATTAGCGTATATTAGAGAAGTCGCTAAAGACCACGGTTATGGCAAAATAATAAACAAATTATGTAATCAGTGCCTTCACATAAACAGTAAAACGGATGAAGAAAAGGAATCAGGAACAGGTGATAAAGAACATATGGAAAGTGTCCCAGTAACGTACAACCCGCAAATGAAAAGGATATATAATTCAATTGCAAAGAAAAAAGGAATTAGAATTACATACAGAAGAAACCCTTCCATATATAATTTGTTAAGAAACGGAAAAGACGCCCATAATATGAACAGACTACTGGGAATATACACCATTTCCTTAATAGACAACAGATGGCAGAGGCAACTGATTTACATAGGATCTACTAAACGTCCGTTAGCCACTAGAATAAAGGAACATAAAGCAGATATCACCCACAACAAATATACAACAGCATTGTCTACATATGCAACAAACCCGGACATAATCCCGATTTNATCTCTCAATAGCTCTGCCTCGACGGTTGATGTCAGGACTACCCACATAGGATTGTGGCCATTAAAATCACCAAGCAAAAGGAATGGTGTTGGCAGCTGTTCAACCAAGGTATCCAATTCATCTTCATTGACTCTGACATCTGCTGGCAAGTAAATAGAACAAACTGTGACAGTTACTTCAATAGAAATTCTGACTGCCACAGCTTGCAAATCAGTGGTTATTTGTACACAGTAAGGATGGAATGCACTTTGAAACCTGTATAGCCACATCTCCACTGGCACGGTTGTGGCTATCATTATCCTTGCGGTAGAAATTGAATCCTTTTAAAGAAATACTTTCTCCAGGTTTTAGATGTGTTTCCTGGAGTACCACACAGAGAGATGAGGTAGATAATGTCAAGTGTTTAATGTCAGAGAAGTAGTTGCAAAAACCACAACAGTTCCATTGGATTATTTTATAATCCATTATGTATTTGAGTCAGCATTCTTAGAAAATATGTCCCTCTTCAATTTTACTGAGGATTTTCCTTTTGCAGGTGAGGTTGGATGTGTCACCTCCATATTATTCTCTTCATCAGAGATATCAGAGAACTCCCTCATAGATTGAGTCTCTGATCTCTTCGATTTAGAGAAAGCTGTTTTCAATTTTTGTTTGTTGAGTGGTTTCTTATTAGCTTTTTTAACCCACATTTCTAGTAATTACTCCTGTTTTGGGTAGGGGTGATTTTGTCTTTATGTTCTGCTTTTTTTCTGTCTCTTTAGAATGAGTTAGTAAGCATTTAGCATGGTGTGTGAGAGATTCATTTGGTGAAACAGAAATATCTGTCTGAACTCCACATGTCTTTGTGGATTTCAGAACAGCTGCAAATGTCTTCTGTTCCACTGGTGCACTTAAAGCAGCCATGCAACGCGCCTCCAGGTAAGGTATATTATTTACAGTCTTCAGCCGCTGAATTTCTTTCTCTCTTTGCCATGTAGGACATTTTCAAGAATAGGCAGGATGAGCGTCTTTGCAGTTGATGCAGCATGAAATAGTTGTACTGTACATTCAGTACTCTCATGATCTTCTTTTCCACACTGAGCACATGCACTTTTCCCACGGAAAGATGTTTGTGGATGTCCAAACTGCTGGCATTTAAAGCAACACAGTGGGTTTGAAATGTACAGGCAAACTGAGCAACGGAGATATCCTGCTGCAACAGAAGATGGCAATGTTGGCTTGTTGAACGTGAGGATAAGATGTTTTGTAGGTATCATCTTGCCTTTGCGCTGGATAGAGATGCGTCTGACAGCAGTGACACCTTGGTCTGAAAGGCCTATCTGATCCATTTTTTGAATGGATATCTGATCCATTTTCAGATATCAAATCTGCCTCCGATATCACACCACGTGATGATTTAAACTAGTGTGGTGTTATAGTGACTTCTATATCTCCCAAAGTCTTTGTTGACAAAAGTTTTGCCGACTGTTTGGGTGAGATTGTTTCTAAAAGTAGGTCTCCTGACCTCAACTTTTGGATTTTTTCAAATTCCCGATGGTTGATTGAAACAATTTTTGTATTAGGAAATAAGAACATTTAGACAGAGGTGTTTCACTGACAGCATGAGCTATAAGGTAAGGTGGCTGGTTGGATAAACTTTCGTTTTTTGATGTTATTATATCTGTACACTGATGTTTGGTGGGCTTAGGATCAATATTGTATATTTGAATATTCAGCTCCTAGTGGTTGGTTGGTTGGTTGGTTGGTTAACTTTTATTGGCACAAAAGCCATACAGGCTATACTGCACCACAACACATGGTGCAATTCGAAGTAGAAAATAAATAGGAAGACATATATACACATATAACCGAAACATCACAGTTTAACCATTAAACAGTCAATGGTAATATTAATATATAATCTAGAATATAATGAATAAATAAGTAACAACAAAAATAAATAAACAAACAACAACAAAATATATATACAATAATTTATATATGCAACTCAACTAAATAAAACTGTACAATAATTAATTCATCAGATTTCCCTATACATATTAATGACTTTTAGAAAGTCCAGTATATTATCCAGATTTGGCCTCTGGCCCAAAATGTCTCTAAGGCTTGAATTTCCGAAATGCTGTCTACGACTCTGATCAGAAGCAACACAGTTGCAAAATATGTGTTTAACACTTACAGCACAGTTGCATTGCTGACATACTGGTTCGTCATCTCCCTTCAAAAGGTATTGATGAGTCAGTCGAGTGTGTCCAATTCTCAGACGAGTAAGGATAACCTCAGATCTCCTATCATATTGCCTATTATTTGATCTCGTAAAGTTTATTGTGGATTTGTGCATTCCACATGATTTGCCATCTCTCGGCTAGTCGTTTTTTGACAACTAGCTTCAAATCACCTCCTTCAATATGCATTGTATGCTGTGAAGGGCTTGCTGACTTAGCAGCTGTATCAGCTTCTTCATTACCTCTTATACCCACGTAGCCTGGGACCCAACAGAACTTCACAAATAAATTTCTTCTAGTAAGATGACAAATTAGTTTCTGAATTTTAATAACTAGAGAGTGAGAACTATGTTCATACGAGTTCAAAGCCTGAAGTGCACTAACTGAGTCAGTGTAAATCACGCAGCAACGATGACCTTTCCGATTTATATGCTTTAAGGCTAAGTAAATAGCCTGCAACTCCGCAGAAAAGATGGAAGAATTCGGTGCTCCTAGTGACTTCACTCACCATGGGGTCCAACAAAAAAATGCCGTCACATGGGAGACTCCCATAGACTGTCGCACCAGGGTTTTCCAAGAGCTATACGATCACAATGCAGTCAAAAAGAGCACATCTTGTCTGACGTGTCCACCGGTCTGAATCGATCTGTCGACTCCAAGCCAAGGTCAAGAATGACTGAGCAACCAGCCGATTGACTCAAACACAGCCTAATTTGAGCCTCCCGTTTATCCAAAGCAGGGGCCAAAGCATTGTGTTGGAGATGTTATGTTATGTTGCCCCTCAACTACCAGGATCCCCCTTTTCCGGCATACGGGGCACCACGCACGCAAACACGTGTGTGGGCATTCAGATCCCAGGGATAGTAAAGAAGACTTACTAAACCATCTCTGGGAGGTCCCCTCACTACAGACAGGAACTCACATCAAGGGGAATATCTATAAGAAAAATTGAAAAAACATTTAACAATTATTCATACTAAAAATAAATTAAATGTAAATAATGGTATGCAAATTTTTACAAATTGCAACATTAGAAAAATGGTCGACAGCGCAACTAAATTCTGTCTCGGTACTCTCGTATGTCAATGTTCACATTATTATGCTACTTTGTATTTCTACTACTGAAGAGAAACTGTAAAGCATAGACCCAACA